AGGAAGGAAGGAAGGAAGGAAGGAAGGAAGATGAGTAGATAAATAGACTGGATTAAAGGGAAGGAAGGAAGGAAGGAAGGAGGAAAAAGGAATAGCAGAATAACAGAATAACAAAATTGCAAGGGGCCTTGAAGGTCTTCTAGTCCAGCCCCCTGCTCAAGCAGGAGACCATTTACCATTCTGGACAAATGGCTGTCCAATGTCTTCTTAAAAACCTCCAATGATGGAGCACCCACAATTTCTGGTGGCAAGCAGTTCCACCGGTTAATTGTCCTCCCTGTCAGGAAGTTTCTCCTTAATTCCAGGTTGAATCTCTCCTCGATTCGTTTCCATCCGTTGCTTCTCATCTTGCCTTTTGGTGCTTTGGAAAATAGCTTGACTCCCTCTTTCTTTGGGGCAGCCCCTCAGATATTGGAAGATGCTATCATGTCACCTCTTAGTCCTTCTTCTCATTAAACTAGAGACACCCCCAATTCCTTCAACCGTTCTTTGTACGTTCTTATCCTCCAGTCCTCTAATTTTCTTTGTTGCTCTTCTCTGCCCTCATATTTGATGCGAAAATAACGATAATGTCACTGCACTTTCAATTCTACATTATCCTGCTCCTTCGCTCCACCTCTGCGCCCTATCGCTGGCTGGTCGTGAGTGACAGCAACAGGGCGATGGGTACTGTTAACCCAGCAGGGATCCTGGCCTTGAAAACAGTTGGAAAGCAGAGAGATGAGAGAAAAACATCTGGCTTGGGAGGACAAGGAGCTCCCTGGGCCTCCTGCAGAGCATCATAGACAGTGGAAGTAGAAAGAAAAAAAGCTTTATTGCATAGAATAGAATAGAATTCTTTTATTGGCCAAGTGCGGTTGGACACACAAGGAATTTGTCTTTGGTGCAAATGCTCTCAGTGTACATAAAAGGAAAGAGACATTCATCCAGAGTCAAGAATCATCAGGTACAACACTGAATCATAGTCATAGGGTACAATAAGGATAGAATAGAATAGAAGGATATAGGAATAGAATTTAAATAGAATGGGATGGGATGGGATAGAACAGAAATAGAAATTAGAATAGAATAGACCTTCTGACCAGCAATAAGGAAGCCAGATCCATTGAACGACCAGGTTAACTAACTGATCAATTGCAGTGACTCCCCTTAACAACAGTGGCCGGAAAAGTCGCAAAACGAAGCAAAGAATGGCTTAGCCAACACCTCGCTTCACAGCAGGCATGTCGGCTTCCATTGTGGCTGTACACAGAGGATTCAGTGTCTGTAAAAAATGAGATAATTCTGGGTTTGAGGTCAGGATGGATGGATTTGGAAGAGTGAAGGGAAGACCTCCGAGGCAGACAATTGTTTATTTTTATTTGATTTGATTTTTATTTTATTTCATTTGATTTGTCAAACGCTTACAAGATAATCGGTATAAGTATAAACATGAGTAAGAATACAGGAAATAGGTACAAATAAATGGGGACAGTAGGACAGGGACGGGAGGCACGATGGTGCGCTTATGCACACCCTTACAGACCTCTTAGGAATGGGTATTCCCTCCCTCCCTTCCTTTCCTTCCTTCCTTCCTTCCTTCCTCCTACTCCCTCCCTTCTTTTCTCTCCTTCCTTCCTTGTTCTCCTTCGTCCCCTCTTTCTTCCTTCCTTTATTTTTTATTTTATTTATTTATTTGATTTGTCAATCGCTTACAAGATAATAGGTATAAGTATAAACATGGGTAAGAATGCAGGAAATAGGTACGAATGAATGGGGACAATAGGACAGGGACAGTAGACACAATGGTGCACTTATGCATACCTCTTTCAGACCTCTTCCCTTCCTTTCCTTCCTTCCTTCCTTCCTCCTGCTCCCTCCCTTCTTTTCTCTCCTTCCTTCCTTCCCCTTCCCTGTTCTCCTTCCTCCCCCTTCCTTCCTTCTTTTTTTTTTTAAAAATTATCTATTTATTTGATTTGTCAATCGCTTACAAGGTAATAGGTATAAGTACAGTATAAACATGGGTAAGAATACAGGAAATAGGTACGAATGAATGGGGACAATAGGACAGGGACAGTAGACGTGATGGTGCACTTATGCACGCCCCTTACAGACCTCTTAGGAATGGGGTGAGGTCAATAGTGGATAGTTTGAGTGGGGGTTTGAGGATGTAACAACAGAGTCAGGTAGTGCATTCCAGGCATTGACCACTCTGTTGCTGAAGTCGTACTTTCTGCAATCAAGTTTGGAGCGGTTAACATTGAGTTTGTATCTGTTGTGTGCTCTTGTGTTGTTGCGGCTGAAGCTGAAGTAGCCATTGACTGGTAGGACATTGCAGCAGATAATTTTTGCGTACTACGCTTTTAATTGTGCAAAAAGACACAAGAAAGGATCATACACCCCTCCTTTTGTGTGTGTGTGTGTGTGTGTGTTCCTTCTTTCTGCTTCCTTTTTCTCCGCTGTGCGGGGAACCGAAGAGAATTTAATTGCTCTTTTTCCGGCTTAATTGCCCACTGGGGAAAATAAAGGTCAGATGGCTTCCTCTTTGCACAGCGGCTGCGGCTGTTTTTGCTTTCTAGTTTCCCCGGCCAGACTGCGAGTGAGCAAAGCACACAACACACCTAGACACCTGTTCAAATCTTGGCCTTTAAGAGAGCTAATTTCAATAAACTTAAGAGAGACCTTAGGAAGGATTCCATGGATCTCTCTTCCCCCTCAATTTAATTCTCTTTTCTTCTCCACAGCTCACCTCCGATGAGTCACCAACCTCCAGAGAGGTTTCCAGGCCAGAAGAAAAAGGTGAGAAAGACCCTTGAGGTGTTTCCCTTGTTCTCAAAGCTCTGGAGGTCAAGCAGAGAGGGAAACATATATACAGTATATTTATACCAATCAATTAACGAGGAATTTTTCCCTAGGCAGGTGAACAGAGGCTGTAAATCGTGCTCTTACTTCTTGGATAAAAGGTGGTTCAGAACTCCTTTTTAATTGCCTTTTATTTTTGGGAATTATTTTCTTTATTTGTATATATCCCACCTTTATTGGTTTTGACAACGAACTCAAGGCATTTTCCCTCTCCTGTTTTCCCACAACAATCCTGTGAGGTATTACTGGCCGGATGCTCTTCCTGTCACCAATACGGAGTTTTTTTTCCCCCAGCAGATATATTCTCATTGTGCCCAGAGAGAGACGTATCTACCTCTACCTAGGATCGAACTCACAGCCTCCTGACTGTGAGGTGAGAACTCCACCTCTAGGCCACCGTACCTATTCCAACTCACTGTCTCCTAGTGACTGGCCCCAAGTCACCCAGATGGCTTTCATGTCTAAGGCAGAACTAGAACTCACCATCTCTTGGTGATTGGCCCAAAGTTCACCCTTCTGGCTTTCCTGGCTAAAGCGGGACTTGAACTCAGGATAGTGTTGCCATCTCCCCTTTCCCCCCCCCCTCTCAAAAACAACAACAACAACTCTGTGAGGTAGGCAAGGCAGAGAGGGAGGGAGGGACTAAGCTAGGGGCCATCTGTAGCTGAGAACTTGAACTCAGCGCCTCATCTGGTACCTTCCCCATTATCCTTTTGCAAAAAGGATGGAGGGAAGAGGTAAAGAGGCAGGGATGCTCTCCCACTCCATTGGACAGTGGTTGCTAGGCAACCTGGAAGCAGTGATGCTTTCTGTCTATGTACCATTATAGGCTGTTGTCTGCTTCTGGTTGCCAAGTTACCATGTCTGCTTGTAAGTTAACGCAATGCCCAGAAATCCTCTTTTCTAAATTTTTCATCCACTATCAAAGGGATACAAATATGTTTTTAAAATCTGGGTATATTTTAAAGATGCGGTTGTGCGCAACTATTTGGGTTTTTTTTTAAACTGCAGTTGGACTCTGGAGCTTGGTAAGTAAAATATTGCAAAAAGTGAGTGACTTTCGGGGGGGGGGAAGGCTGGGAATTGAAGTTCAGGTGAAACCTCGGCGTCCGATCCAGGCAACAGTAGCGCATGAAGGCTTTAAAAAAAACACAAGAGAATCCTGAGACGAGAAAGCATATAAATTTGAAAAAGACAACTCAATAAAAAAAACACACACCCAGGATCAAAAAAAATAAAGAAATAACAAGAGGTATTGGGGAAAATCGATAGACAAATGCAAAAACCGTCTGGGTTAAGTCTGCAACATACGGAGTTTGGTTTTTCAAGAAGCCCATTCTCTGAATTTTTATTTTATTTATTTATTGATTATCCCGCCTGTATTCCACTCTCTCTGGTGGCCGGGTGGGGGGGGGGAGAGGGGTGTCTGATTTGGCCTAACGGTCTCGTTCAATGGTGGGATTCAAAATTTCTTACTACCGGTTCTGTGGGCGTGGCTTGGTGGGCGTGGCAGGGGAAGGTTACTGCAAAGTCCCCCTTCCCTCCCCACCTCCACTAACCTGCTTTCCAGCTCTGTTCTCCTGTGCTGGGCAACAAAAGAAGATCCAGCCAATCAGCTGGGACTCGATGGGAGGCGGAGAATAGATGGGGGCGGGGCCAGTCCGAGGCGGTATTGGCCGGGTTCTCTGAACTACTCAAAATTTCCACTACCGGTTCTCTTGAACCGGTCAGAACCGGCTGAATACCACCTCTGGTCTCATTTGCAACGATGTTGGAAAACTGCAACGATTGTTTTCTCCCCACAGACAAAGGCGAAAACCCCAAGAAAACAGAGCCGGAAGAAGAAGAAATTGATATTGATTTAAATGCCCCGGAAACGGAGAAGGCCGCTCTCGCCATCCAGGGAAAATTCCGACGTTTCCAAAAACGGAAACAGGATCCCAGTTCCTGAGCCTTTCCGGAGCCTTCCCACTTCGCCTTGATGCGCTTCTTTCCTCTTCCTGTCCCCCAAAACCCCGCCGCGATTCCATTTCCTCCCTTGTCTTCCCACCCCGACAAAGGGGGCTCCTCTGATCTTCAACTAATTTTAATTTTTGCACGTCCTGGGAAAATGGTCAAAGCAGAGGAAGGGAGGGGATGGAGTGGGGTGGGTGGAAGGGCCTGCTGAGCACCAAGGCCTTCCACACTGCTTCACCGGAAGCCGCCAATCGTGGGCAGAGCGAGAGATGTCCTTTCCACAACTTACAACCGGTTGTCGAACAAGCGGTCGAGGTTACAACGGGCTCTTTTTAAAAAAATCTACCGGTAAACCATCCTCGGAGTTACGACTGCCGTGCCTCTTTTGGTACAGGATTGCAATTGGGGCCCTTGGCAATTGGCTCACATTTGTGACGGTTGCGGTGCCCCACGGTCGCTGTTTGCGATCTATTTTTGCTGCTGTCTGGCAAAAAAGCAGCCGTTTGGAAGAACGACTGTGTGATTGGCTGGACGACCATTGTGGCTCGTTTGCGACTGTTGTAAAAACAGTCGTGAAATTGAGACTGGTCCTGTGGCTCCTCGACTTACAATCGCAATGACTTAAGACTGAAATTCAAGGTTTTCCTGTGATTGTAAATCAAGGACAACATACAAGTGGGAAGCCTAGGTTAGGAAGATTAGAATAGCCGTCGCTTATTTTGAATTGTTTGAACCAAATTCTTCATCCTTTTTTCCTCCCAACTATCACTGGGAGGGGGGGTTGTTACTCTATAAATGGAGGGTTGAGATTTTAATCTTCCTTTTTGGAGATTGGGAACGCAGTTCCCACACTTCGATGCCAACTTCCAAACATTTACAGTGGAGATGCCACGTTGAAGGGAAATTATTTTCCCCCTCTGCGAGGTTGGTTCTCTAAAATTCTTCAAACCTTGCTATGAAGTTTGAATCCTTTGGGTACCAAACCTTGCCTGCCAAAGACCCCTTGCAAAATTGCAAAAATGGAAAATTTGCGAGCCACTTCCAAGTCCCGTTCACAAGTTAGGATTTGAAAACGGGTCCGTTTGGTGTCCCAACGTGGTCGCCAAAATTTTCCTTTCCTGTCTAAGATAACTCGCCGCAGCCAACCCAACTCGCCGTGGGACAATTCAACACCGTTTTCATCATTTCATTCAGTTACTTTATTTTTGATGACCACGTTTTCATCCAAATCATCATGATTCTTGTATTTCTGGATTGACTTTCTTCATGCTATTATTGGCCACGGTTCTGTCGAAATTAAGTTAACTTTTGTATTTGTTGAATTGTCTTTTGACAAGTTTGGCCCGTGTGGCAAGTTGGCCATAGTGGATTGTCTCATTCCACCAACCAAGGCCTAATAAAAATCCTGCCAAATTCATTCAAAGAACCATAGGCCCGATGCAGGGAAAATATTAGCTTGAAATTCTAAAATAAACCTATTTTCAAAACAGGAAGTTGAGTCCTGGGGCTCAACACCAACCTAGACAACGTGTTGAAAAGGGGAAAAATTATATTTTCACTTCCCTGATGGGACCCCACTTTTCTTAAGAGCCAACCTCGTGGCCCAAAGGAATACTTTGCACCTGTCTTTTGCACCGATAAGAGTGAAACTGTGAGCAAAATTGGGAGCTCCCTCCCATGAAAATGTTTTTGTGAGTCCAATATGCTTTTTACGAAGTCAGCTTCAAGTTCCTTAAGCCATTCTTTGCCAAAAGAACATCCGAGTGTTGTTACCAAACTCAGTGTCTGTCCTACGCAGCCACCAGATCTCAGCACCCCGATTTCTCTGTCCATTCACCCACAAAAAGGGCTGCTAGCTACAAAGCCATGCTCCCGTCCTCAGGGCCCAGCTTATTATGAGCCAAGAAGAAAAACAAGAACAAGCCGAAATCTATCCGTCAAGGTCACGCACACATATATTTTTTTTCCCCACTTAACTGCCTCACAGCCATTCCACTTCTGGGCCAGTGGTGGATGCAAAATTCGTGGCGGGCAATAAAACATTGTCAAGAATGAATAAAAGCTGTCATCCTGGGCACTGACTGACCTGCTTTGAAGACTGACACGTTTAGCATGTTAATAAAATAATCAGGGGAAAAAAAGTTTGTTTTGTTTTGGTCTTTTGTCTTCTTTTTACCTGAATTATTGACACAGCTTGTATTTGCAGATTTCAGTGTTCTGGTTTGATTGATAGATAGATAGATAGATAGATAGATAGATAGATAGATAGATAGATGGGAGAAGCCAGATTCACTTAAGAACCACAAAATTTACTTAACTGCTGCGATTGGTTTCAGAACCATGGCCGAAAATGGCATCAAATTGGGCACAAACTCACTAAATTCCCACCTTCTATCGCTTAATGCTGCCAAACGCGGTATTTACAGTTTATACCCTGATTAGGAGCTGCCAGATAAAATGTATACAGATAGTCAGTCCTCCACGTACGACCCCAAAATTTTTCTTTTGCTCAATGAGACATTTGTTAAGTGAATTTTGCCCCATTTTATGACTTTTCTGGCCACCGTTGTTAAGTGAATCGCTTAACATCCCTGCATCGGAGGCAGGACCCTCGTCCGAGTCCTCCCCAGATTCCCAGACTGGTCCTCATTCTTTCCCACTGTCCAGTTCCGCCGCTGTCTGCACAAGCTGCCGGCGAAACACAACAGAAGTGCCTTTCCAAGGGCAAAAGGAAAAGGGATACTTCGGGATATGCAAAATAACCCAACAGGGAAAGGCCCGATAATGGCGCTAACGAGCTTGAACTAATAGGATAAGCTGTAATAATGAGTGATTTTAATAGGGCTGAAGTCCCAGCGGATGGATTGGCTTCCTCCCAAACGCCAAAGGTGAGGCGCTGGAAAAGCAAAATTTCAAGGTTTTGAGCATTGGCGATTCTTCATGCTTAATCAGGACTTTTAAATCCGCTTCAGAAGAACGAGGACTCCGAATACAAAATCTTCGAACCTTCAATCTTTGAATGACAACCGTTTGTTTAGTGGCCGGTCAAAGCTACAACAGTCCCGAAAAAAAATGGAACTTCGGACTGTTTTTCACATCACCCTTGCAGCATTCCCATGGCCACGCGATCCAAATTGAGGTGCTTGGCCTCTGACTTGTATTTACAACGGTCGCAGAGTTCCGGGGTCATGTTGATCCCCTTTGCTGACCTTCTGAACAGCAAAGCCAATCTTCCTCCTCTTTTAATGACCCCATAAGCCCTTGTGGGGTGGAGTCTGGGCAAATGAATGGTAGTGAGTGTTTTTACTGGCTGGATGCCTTTCTGGTTGCCGATGAGGAGTTTTGTGCAGCAGATAATATTCTCAACGTGCCCAGAGAGATAAATATCGGCCTCTACCTAGGATCGAACTCACAGCCTCCTGATTGTGAGGCCAGAGTTTCACCTCCAGGCTACCGCACCACTCTGACCAGCAAACTCAATGGAGGAGCCAATTTCCCTTAACAACCGTATCACTAATTGAACAACTGCAACGATTTCCCCCTTCTAAAATATTAGCTTTCTTTCTTAACTTTGATTTATTTTCAGCGTCCATCACAGACTAAGGACCCAGATGCTGTGCAGTCAATCAGACAATAAATCCTGCCAAAAATATAAATGAATGAAGGAGCTGGGTGAGGAAATTAAGCCATCCTGGTTTGTTCGGCTAATCCCTGCTCTGTTTTCTCAAAAAACTTTTCCTTAAAAGTAAAAAACAAAAAACAGACAGGACATTCAATTATAAAAAAAAAGAGAGAGACCATCCCCAATTTTTATGGGCTTGTCCATGACAAAAGAGCCACATCCCCTTTCTTAACAACTGGACTCACAACGGGCTTCACAACTGCAATGATTCACTTAACAACTGTGGCAAGAATAGTTGTGAAATGGGAGGAATTCACCAGTCTCGCTTAGCAATGGGAATTTGGAGCTCAATTGTGGTCGTAAAGTCGAGGACTACCTGTAGAAGGAGCTGAGGGAAAACACGCTAAATTAGAGATAAATAGTGAAGTATATTTTGTCGTGTGACCGGAAGTAGAATTGGATGAGCTCCTGAGCGACAGACAGTCCAAATTTTATTTCTCTTAATTCACAGTTGAATGAGCCAAGCAACTGGCCTGGTTTTGTCAGATAGCTGCTAGTTGCTGAACTCTCTTTTTCTTTTTATAAACTGGTATGGTGGCTTAATGTTTAAGACACTGGGCTTATTGGCTGGAAAGCCGGCAACCAGGATTCGAGACCCGAGCGCCACGCCCTTGCTCCAGCTCCTGCTAACCTAGCAGTTTGAAAGCAAGCAAATGCGAGTAGATAAATGGGTACCACTTCGGTGGGAACAGAACGGTGTTCCGTGACATCATACTAGCCACATGACCGCGGAAATGTTTTTGGAGAGCGCTGGTCCGTGGCCTTGAAACGGAGATGAAGAGTGCCCCCTAGAGTTGGGCACTGTTCATTTCACAGAGTAAAATCCGTAGTGACTTTTCTTACTCCGACTTTACTATCAGGATCACAGACCACAAGAAAGCCAGCTTGGTACAGAAATGTCAGTCTTTTTAATTAATTCTTTGTCATTTTAATGGATGTCATTTGTTTTTGACGGCGGTTGTTGCTGTTTGATAGATAACCACGGGGTTGAGAAAACCCCTGAGAAAATTGTGCACACCTACACGGAAAAAAAACCATTTAAAAAAAAAACGCAGTTTAGTTTTGTAGGACTACTCGTGATAACATGTGCTACACAGAACGGTGTGGTTGCGGGTCTGCAGGAATTGTCTGCTTATGTACATTGCTTTTAGCACCTTGTCATTTGAGGTTGTGAGATTTTGAAGACGAGAAAGAGGCTGGGAAATTGGTAGAAAGTGTCTGAAATGGAGTAGGGTTTTCCTGCTGGGGCAGCAGGGTTGGACTAGAAGACCTTCAAGGCCCCTCCCAACTTCTGATTCTGTTAAAATGAACAAACCAAAGCTGTCGTATGTTTGCTAACAAAATGATCCGGGCAGTTCTGCCTTTGGCTGTTTTGCTACTGATGGAACATATTGTCCTAGAAGTTAATCTGAACAGAATAATAATAATTGGGGAAAAAAAAACCACCAAAACAAGAGCAAAAATAATGGAGAAAAATCAAAGCTTTGAACTCTGCCTACCCACATAACGTCATGCAGAATTCGGTCACTGGGCAGAGAGCACAGCAAGGAAGAGGAAAATATATATATATATATATATCAATATAA